GAGTGTGAATTGATATCAATTCGTAAAACTGTTCTTATATTGAGATCAGTGTTGCCAACTCTTTCGGATTTCCCTACTTTTTCTGGATTTTAGATGACTTTTATTGAATTAAATTTTATCTATTTGTTAATACTCAAAAAATTTTTTTTACTTAATAGCGGTTCAGTGACTTATACTTATATACCTAGTTTATTATATTTTGATGTTGATTTTCTTTTGATATATAGAAACATGAGTTTTTTGAAATAATAAGTGGTGTAATTAAGAACAAGATTTTGAGAAATTTATTTTAGCTGGTAGAAATTAACTGTTAAAAATCTTTCCGGATTTTCATATTAAAATTCCAGTTTTCTGACTATGACAGTTGGCATCACTGATTGAGATCTATGTCGATACTAGTTTATAATAATTTTGTCTTTGTTTAATAGAGTAATACGAATTCTTATAAAGTTTCTATTTACATCATGAGTTCAAATAGAAGTTATCAGTTAGATGAATTCTCTTATGAGAAGGTCATATGTTATGTGTCAGATATTACATCAAACTAAGAAGTATTCAAAGTTTTGTATAAATACAATAAAGTGTATTTAAAACAATACGATCTCTGTATGCAATATAATTCATACATACAAATCTTAGACTGAAACTTTCTTTCTAATTTTAGCTACTGAAATTGATGTATGTGATGTATCTCATACGAAATCTTGTCCACAAAATTGTACATGTTATAATAAAATTGTACGATGTTCACGTGCTCAATTAACTCGTATTCCATACGAAGAAATACCAGTAGATACAGAAGAACTTTATTTAGATTCGAATTATATAGAAGATATACCATTAGAATTACTTAATCGTTTTATTTATCTTGTACGAATTGATTTAAGTTATAATAAATTACGTGGTATACAAGGAAATTTATTTTCAAATTTAACACGACTTGAAACATTAATATTATCTTATAATAAAATTCAATGTTTGGATTTAAATACATTTAAAGGTTTAAAAAATCTCAGAATTTTGTATGTATTTATATTCTAAAAACGAAAAAAATAGAAAATATTGAAATTTTTAGATCACTTCATGGAAATAAACTTTCATCAATAGTAGAAGGAACATTTAATGATTTAACCGTTTTATCACATATGTAAGATAAATATAATATTAAAAGATAATAAAATTCATATTTATGTTTATTAATAGTGCACTTGGTAGTAATCCATTCTATTGTGATTGTAATCTTGCTTGGTTATCATCATGGATTAAAACAGATTATGTCGAACCTGGTAAGATAATTATTGATTAGTAGAAAAAATATAATAATACAATTTACTATTTATAAATTAGGTATTGCTCGATGTGCTGGTCCAAGTCGAATGACAAATAAACTTCTTCTTACATCTCCTGTTTCATTCTTTCAATGTCATAGTATGTATATTTTCCTTCTTAACTTTTTTTTTTAAATTAATCTATTTATTAGATAAAACTGAATCATATTATCATCAACAAAAATGCAATCCTTGTTTGAAAAATTCTAATCGATGTTCTAATAATAGTACATGTCGTTCATTATCCTTAGAAAAATATGTCTGCGACTGTTTACCAGCATATTATGGAAAATTTTGTGAAAAAATCAATGATACTTGTTTGAGTAATCCATGTAAACAACAAGGAATGTGTCAATCATTAGGTGAAGGCCGTTATCAATGTCATTGTGTGTTAGGTTTTACGGGTAATCAATGTGAAATAAATATAAATGATTGTATATCTAATCATTGTCAAAATAATGGTACATGTATTGATAAAATTAATGATTATTCATGTTTATGTTCACCATTATTTACTGGTAAAATAAAATAAATATTAAAGACAAAAAATTCTAAGATAAATTGTATTTATAGGAAAATATTGTGAAGAACGATTAAATTTATGTAATCAAGATTTAAATCCATGTAAAAATAATGGACATTGTTCGATCGCTGAAAATGGATACAAGTAAGATACATTGTTGAATATATTCATTGTAGCTTTTAGAAGAAAAGAGGTTTTCTTATATGGAATTTAACTTATAAAATAAGAGAAAATGGATGCGATATTATTTATTTTGTATTGATATTTTTATAATATGTTCAGAAAGCGATAGTAGAAGATATGCTCGTAAGAAAGAATGAGAAAAAGACTAGTAAGTCCTTGCTAGATTTCATAGTTAATGGATTTGTTTGAATTCATTATATGATTTAGAAATGAGTTATAGCCTAAGATGAATTTTGTCACCTAGAATTATATATGTACCGATATCCAATCTCGCGGTCTCGATTTATGCCTTACTTTTAATAATTAATGTTCGTCTACTTCTCAATTGTTATAAATATTCTATTTACATGTTTGTTCATTCAAAAAAATCTCTACAGAATTACGATGTGATAAAGACTCCGAAAGAAGCACACAAGAAGTCAAACTTTTATCCAAATATTTCCTTATGATAGTACAGCTATTTGACCTGATATTCGTTTAGTTTCAAAAACTAAATTTTACAACCCAAAATCTATTTATATAATGTAATAGGATGAAGAACAACTTGATATACAGTTATCATTGAAATAAATTCTATTTGAATTTTTTTGTTGTAAATTTAGATGTGATTGTCCATTGAATTTTAAAGGAATAAACTGTACAGAAACTTTCAATGATTGTTCTAATTCAACATGTCAATTTGGTGTATGTGTTAATAATATATGTCAATGTGATATTGGTTTTACTGGAAGATCTTGTGAAATAGCTCCTAAACTTAAATCTTCAATACTCGATGTTAATACAAGTAATATTTCACGGTTACAATGTACATCGGATATATGTTCAAATAATGGTATTTGTTATGAAGAATCATTGAATTCACTTCGTTGTCGTTGTTTTTCGGGTTATAACGGTGATCGATGTAATATGTTAAAAGGTGTTCATTCAAATACAAACTATTCTTATATAAAATTACCTAAACCAAATGTATACCCACGTTTAAATCTTACAATTCTATTTAGTACAAAACAAACGAATGGTATACTTGTTTATTTTGGATATTTGGGACATATGATTGCAGAATTATTTATGGGTCGAATACGTATTAGTTATGATATTGAAAATTCTCCTGGTTCAGTTATATTTAGCTATGATGCAGTTAATGATGGTAAGAAAACAAGATTTTATTGGAAAAAATAAAATATGTTTTTTTTAGGAATGATACATGAAATACAAATGATTAGTACTGGAAAGAACTTTAGTTTAACTGTTGATCGAGGTTACACGAGATATATTAATAATGTAGGTGTTCATGCTTATATGAATACAAGTGATATACATGCATTGTATATTGGTGGTTTACCAAAGGAATTAACTGGTAGAGCTCTTCAATTGTGGCATATTCGAGAAGGTGTTTCATTTCAAGGTAATTCTTTCAATTTAATTTATCTTCAGTTAGATTTTTACATTGAATTGAATAAATAAACTTGACAGATGAGCTATTAAACATATTATTAATAGTAACTATCTCATACAATGAATTTATTGTGTATTTTCACCGAATATAGTAGATGAATAGAATAATTGATATTATGATAAGATTTATTTTATTAAAGGTTGTATTCATGGACTTTATATAAATAATGATCCAATTAATTTTGCTAATGTTGATTATCGTCATAAATTCTTACCGGGTTGTAAAATAAATGAACAAAATCAGTCATCTTGTACTACTACAACTTGTCACCATGGTCAATGCTATCGTGATGGTTTTACTGATAAATGTAAATGTCATACTGGTTTTACTGGACCAACATGTAACGAAGGTAAGGTTCTAAGATTTGTTTTTTATTCAAATTAAAAATTATTTCTTCTAGTTGTAACATCCTCACTTGATTCTTGTGATGTAAGTGTTGAAACAGGATATTATATAGATCCATTAACGCAATGTACGAGTATAAGACGTTTACGTATGACAAAATGTATTGGAGAATGTTCAACTTTATCTAATAACAAAACATTAACATCATGTTGTAAACCAATTGAATCAAAACGTCGTTATTTTCGAATGAAATGTGCCAGTGGTTTTACATATAAACAATCACTTGATTTCTTCAAGCAATGTACATGTTTAAATACTGTTTGTTAATTTTAGAAATATAATTTAAGTTTTCTTTTTTGTCAACACAAACTAATCTAAAAGCACTCAAATGATCTCAGGCATTTGTATAATATTGTTTTGTTTTTATCCTTTGTTCATTTTCTCTTTTTCGTTTTCCAGTTTGCCATTCTATTGTATTTGCTATTTGCTAGTTGAATATTTTTATAAGTCACTTATATTCATTGTCATTCTATTATATTTAAATGAAAATGAACTAGAGAAATATCACATCATGATGAATAATATTTTTTCATAGTTTTTTTTATACGAGATTATTTCACAATATAAAATACTATGTATGCTCATATGTCGATCTCGAATAAGATGTTTGTTTCTGTTAGGATGGAAATCATAAGATATGATGAACTATATTTCATTCTTTTTTCTATCTTAATCATAAATGAGTTCAAATTCTCGTTTATTTACTTCGTATTCTCACAGTAAATGCAAACTACAAGATAGGGAAATAGAACGTTAGAAGTTCCTTGTTCTTCTATATAAATGATGCTAATTATGAAATAATCTTCCAAAGTATTCATTAAAATGTTTCATCTGGAAAAGAAAAAAACTTACTAATTTAATAATTATTATAATAGTATAATTATAGAGTATCAAAAGAACATAGAATTAATTAATTGATATCATGCCTGGTTAGTCAAGTGTATGTAAATCATTGTTATTTTCATGTAGTTTAAAAAGTAAAAGTTGTCTACAATTATGTATCTTATATAAAGCACAGACATTAATGATGCGTTGGTGTATATTATATTTTATACATAATACGTGACGCTTGTCATTTATTAACATTATATTCAGTAATAACATCATGAATTCATCACCTAAAGTAAATCTTGCACTTGCTACGAATTGGATGAGTACAATTAGTTTATTTATTTTAATACCTGTCGGTTCATTTGGTTGTCTTTTTAATATTATTATATTTACTTCGAAACAATTGAAAAAAAATCCATGTGCTTTTTATTTTCTATGCACAAGTCTTTTGGAATTATGTATTTTATGTTTCGGTGGTATATCTCGACTTGCTACGGAACATTTTGGTAATACACTTATAAGTCAAAATCGAATGTATTGCAAAATTCGTTCATATCTTATGACAGCAATAGGTACAATAGCCGTGTATTTTGTTCTATTGGCAGCTATTGATCGATGTATGGCAACATCAATTCATGTTCGATATCGAGCATTTAGTCAAATTAAAATTGCTCATCGTATTGTTATAGTTACTATCATTATTGGAATAGTAATAAGTATACATAGTTTTATCTTTTTTGAACCTCAATTGGGATGTATACCACAACCAGGTGTTTATGCATTATTTTATAGTATTTATTTAATAGTTTGTACTAGTATTTTACCAGATAGTTTAATTTTAATATTTTCTCTATTGACATTTCAAAATATAAGACGAGCAAGATTACGTAATGCAGCAAATCAAACTATCAACGCATTACATCAACAACGTATGCAAAAAACCGAATCACAACTTGTAAAAGTAAGTTAAATGATTGTTCGATTTGATTGAATCTTTGCATTAAATTGTTGTAGATGATGTTAACTCTTGCGTTGTTCTCAATTTTAATTGATTTAACAAAAGTATCGTGTTATACATATTATTTTATGACAACAAACATTCCAAAAAGTTCTTATCAACAAACTGTTGATGTATTTATATTTCAATTTGGTAATGTTTTTCTGTATCTTAATTATTCAAAATCATTTTATATTTATACACTTGCTAGTAATTTATTTCGTAAAGTATTCAGTGAAATAATACAAAATTTTTATCATAAATTACTTCGTCTTTTTTCAAAGAATAATATTCATCCTATTACGATTATTCAATAAAATTAATAATGGAAGTGTTGAACAATGTAAAATTCAATTAATTTTATTTGTGTGTTGTCATTAAACAAACTCTTTTTGTAATTAATAAATTTCTAGAAAATATTTTCGGTATGACGTCAAAGAAGAATAAAGTATATATAATTATTTTATATATTAGAAGTCTCATAGGCGACGAAGCGTCTTGAATCTAGGTAAGATTCATAGTGTTTTCTTCTTTGCATCCGTTGAACTGCGACGACGAAAATTTTATTAGAGCTGCAGCATAAACGAAAGCTCTTCTATTAAGTTCAATAAATCAAACGGGTTAACGAATAAAAGATGGTTATGATTAAAAAGAGCCAAAGAACCGTTTTCAGAAGTGCACTATTCAAACGGTTATGTGTCACAGAAAAGAAAGAGAATCACAAAGACAGTGAAACGAGAGATAAATACGACTACCTAACACTTCTAATTATTCGCAATCTCAATCTATTATTCTCTCTTGCGATCTCGAAGTATAAGTGATATCTTACTGCAATTATATCAATTCGACGTCAAGACAGCTACTACTAACAACACACATCAAAGAAAAGTATATTTTCCATGTGTCTGAAAGGACAGTAGCGACGACAAGTTAATAAGTGGTGTGTCAAGTTCAAAATTAGGTGAGGCTCAGGTCTCATAGACTCCGCCGCTCTTGAGAAGGCTAGTTCATCTCTATATGCAAATATAATTAGATCAAAAACAAAATTCATTCAATTTGGTGTTGCATTGAGATGATTTGGAAAAAAAGGTTGATAATTACTATTTTTATTATAGATCAAATGACTTCTTATTTCTCTCAGATTCTATATTTTTATTCAAAGCTTTACCAATCGAGACTGGAATCAGATCAAATTTCTTGACTTTATTTTTTAATCACGTAGACAATCGATCTTAATATATATTTTCAATCATTACAGATATTCTCTAGATGATCATGTTTTATGAATATTATTTCTTTTCTGATTAGAATTAGTTATAATAAAATTTCAAGTTTATTATTATTGTTATTTGTGAATAATTGAAGGCATAAGATATGCTGTCATTGCATAAAGCATTTTTGGAAACCAATGAATTCCATTGTTTTCATTTGAAATAGTTTCTTTTCCAAATAAATTATACCACCATCGCATAGGTGCTAATGCAGCATGAGCTAAATAATGATTATTAATTGTTGCATAACATGACGCTACAATATTATTAACAATTAATGTGCCTTCTTGTGTTAATGGTGCAATATATCCTTGTTTAACAATATCGATTACATTTGAAATAGTTTCATTAGATAATAAACCATTATTATTCATAACAAATACATTCATACCTACACGAATATTTTTTGCCATAACATAACCATGAATATCAGTTAGAAGAAGATGAGATGATGTAAGAGATAATTCTTGTCCAGAAACTGTAGTTAAATGTTTGAACATAGCTAAGAAGAAAACAAAGAAAATTACATAAGAATAATTAAAACAAGAGAATTTACCGAATTGATCTGGTTGATTATCAAGCATTGTTATTATAGGAGTAGTGACAATTGCTTTTGTTTGATCATTATAAGCAAAAACAATATCATCTGATTGTAATTCATTGATTTGTTTTTGTTTTCCATTAGATAAAGTAACAAAAGAATCGGCAGCAAAACAACGTGCACCTTGAAATAAACCATCTAAATAATGTCGAATTTTAATTAAGATAAAATCAATTCTAAGAATGATAAAACAAACTTCGAATAGGACATTTTTCATGGCTTGTAACAGGACAACAATGTTCAGCTAAACTTATAACTTCAGCAAGTGCCGCTTGACCAAGCTAGAATAAATAATTATGAATAAAAAAAAATATTCATTGCATTGATCTATGTATTTATTTACTTCTGCAGCAATACAACCGTCTAATTCTTTGCTTACACATTGAGTAATGTTTACGGCTACATTACATATCATTTTTACATCTAAAAAAATGATAATTTCTATAATAATTCTCTCTATGATTTTACTAACCATTCATAGTAACTCCATAAAGTGCCGTTGTTAAAAATTGAAGACAGTCAATAGTTTGTTTTGGTTTTTCACTTATTGAACATAATGCATACGTAGTTGTTATTAATACAATGATAATTGCAAATTTGAATATTATCTAAATAGATTCGTTAAATTATTGATATGATTATTTATTTCATTTACCATTTTTAGTAGAAATCGAATATTTTATGTTTCAATATCAATAGATGGATAGAAATGATTTCTTTTCACAATTATATCAATCTATCGTTATTAAAACAACGACTCATATTACAAATCCTTACTTTTAGCAATTACTAATAAAAAGAAATATATTCCATTTTTTTCTGGTATTCTTAAAATCATAATTGAAACGAATCAAATTTCTATGCGTATATATATATAAAAGAAAGAAATTATTATGACGTAATAAATCATATTTATCTTTACAATTGTATTTTTTAGTCGAAGAAAAAAACAATACGTATCAGACAATATTAAAGTTAGATTGATTATGATGTGAAATCAATATGCATTTTGATCAATTACTAAAGATGTACCGCAAACAAAAAGTTTAATGACGCATAATCTCTTGACACTATCTGTCACGCTTATTTTGATGCTACTAGATTTTTAAATAGAAATAGACGAATTACTTATGTTGAAATAAATACATGGTTGAGCATCACCATTCTTAAATTTCTAGTTATTTCGTTCGATTATCATTGACTTCAACATGGACAGTAACCATTATATAAATGGTAAATGCATATTTTGTATCAATATCAGTTGTTTTATTCTTTCTCAAGAATAAACTTAAAGCATCGTTCATCATATGACTTTTTTTCGCGAAATGATTTATTAGAGTTTATCATACATTCAACAAATAAGTTTTTAAAGTCTTGTGAAATGTATAATATTTTTCTCAATATCATTAAAATACAACATGTTATCTATTGCACCGATGATGTCAGAATATGACAGTAACAATCATTTTGAGTACATTCATATGTTCGAGCAGAGAATGATACCATAAAAATGTTATATAATTCATCGTTATTTATGTCCCTTAATATCTATTTCTGAGCAGGCATCTTCTACAATAACCTTCGATATATAATATCGATTCATTTACTATTCGCATTTAACTAATGTTTTCATACATCTAACTCTTAGATTAACTACAATATAATAATCATAAAATATTCGTCCACATAAGAAATTCTATTCAAGAATTATGATTACGTTTTGTAAACTAGATATTTATTTATGAAAAAATCAAAACAATTTTTATTTCTTGTTTACAAAAAATCGATCTAAGATAACACACACATTTATATAAAAGTAACAATTTCATTATTAATCATGAATCTATAAATAAAGGAAGATTTAAGATAAGAATTATTTTTCTTTCAATAATTACCTTTTGTACAGTTTTATCATAAAGTGATAGCGATTGTTGAGTTGATCGATGATGTAAATAAAGAATTCCAATACTAAATAATGCCGACAGTAGAAAAATACAATCAAACCAACGATGATAAAAATTAAATTGTAAATCACCAAGAACTCGTGAAATAATATGCCTATTATTAAAAAATCATATTTTAATCTCACTGAATATTTATTCGAATTAAATTACCGATATTTTGCTGGCATATTCATTCGAAGAAGAAGTACAGATGATACAAAATACATTCCCTATAGAAAAAAACGAAAAGATGAATATTTTTCTTTTATTATATTTACCATTAATTGAGCAAGACATAAAAAAATAACATCTGATGAACGACTACTTGATATGAAATAGAAAAACTATTGAAATAAAAAATTATTTTTAGTTTTTTTTTGAATTCGCTGTAATTTTATTATCAAACTTTTGTTAATGTTATTAATAAACCACGAATACTTGTTACAACCATAATACCGATTAATATAAATGATACATATTGTGACCAAAAGTGTACATCAAATTCGAAATTAAAATAATGAACTGTTAATTCAATACTTTTTGTCACCGGATCAACTAGAAAAAATTATATATTTCTTGTTTTTCTATAAATATTCAATTTACCTTTTCCTACTCGATTAAAAATAATATTTATAGATGAAATTAAAATTTTCCATATACAATATACAGAAAAAAAATGTCCGACGACATGAAAATATTTTCCTTGTAATGTTTTAGAATATTCAATACGTTCTTTTAATTCATTTAAATCAACAAGATCAGTATATAATTGTGTATAAATTTCTTCATAGATATATATTTCTTGTTTAATCGAATTGATATCACTATCTGCAGATGATATATGATTGATTAATGGATTTTCAAAACGAGAAGTAAATGTTCGTCGAAGAATATGCCATGGATTAGTTGAATTAACATTTGCAGTCATTGTTCTCATGAAATTTTCATGTTCAATAAGAGCAATACGTTTCTTCTTTGTTACAACAACATCCATAACTTGTTTTAAACGTTTTTGTGCATCAGTTATATCTTTATCAGTCATCGACTAAATATAAATAATAAATTATTACAGAATTTTTCATTTTATGAATACGATCAGAATTATTTCGCTTCATGAGACGTGAAAGAGTTTATATTTCGAAAATGATCAATAGTGACAATCAGGGGCGGCACGAGTCAGCCAACATTGCAGGGGGTGTAGCATTATCTTTGGTAAAATATCTAAGAAGATTTGCCGATTTTGTTGAGCACAAAATAGAAATTTTCGAAGATTTGGGGGGGGGGCGGGTGTCACACCCCCGACACTCGTCCGATCGCGCCACCCCTGGTAACAATGTGAATGTATTGAGTATTATAAATAGATACGACGAATTTATCCAAAAGTCCGTTCTGTAGACACAAAATTTCATTAATTAAATTAAAACTCGCATTGTCTATTCTTTTTATTTTAGCATTGGATGACCGAGATTTTATAAGCTTGGGTTAGATCTAGACAAAAAATCAATTCGACTATCTTATCTTAATCTCAACTGTTATTCAGAGACGCATATAATAGTACCAAATGATCGGTTTATTTAAAATGGATAATATCATACTGACTTCATTATCGAATATTAACTTTGATGAGTTCATGATGTATTTGTATTTGACAAATCTTTTTCTAATACCCAGACAGACAAAACTCAGAAAAAAACGGAGAACTACGCGTAGAAATTTTGAAACTTTAACGAAAATAAAATCCGAAAAAGCGCGCATTTTGACGATTTTTATCTCCGTTGGCTTTGTCTATTGTGATTAACCCGTTAACACTCACAAAATAACGTGTAAAACCACGTTCAATTCCACGTTTCAACGAGTAACTATGGAGTAAATTTCAACCCAGTAAAACGCTTTCCAAAAATTTGCGTAGAAACGGTGTATTTACGTGTTTTTTAGCAGTTCTGTCTGTCTGGGTAGTCGTATTTTTGTATAACAATTTGGTTATTATATCAGTATTTTTTTAATCATTTATTGCCTTTAGCAAAACTTATAAGTCTAGCATTAAGATTTATCCATGAACATTAATTTAATAGCAATAGTACTAGTATATAATCATTACCGGAAGAAAATCAATGTAGATGTAATATATGTATAACTAACTTGAGCGGAAAGTCGAAAGTACAAAAACAATATTGACATAATTTTAACTCATTTTTCGAACAAAAGCTTATCATACATTTTCTGTATGATAAAAATTGAGTCACACTATTTTACAATCTTTATTACATTAACTTTCAGTCAATATGAAAATTTCAAAATTCTTCTTTTCAATTTCAATTTACCTTAATAAAATAAGTCATATATGTATATGGACAATTGACAGCTAGAAAAGAAAATCTATAAAAATATTTTTTATCATTAATATGAAATTATTTTTCATACCACCAAATCCACTTAAAATAGCCATAACAGTTACACCAATAATTCCTACACGACTTATACAGAATTCAATACTAAAAAATTCATTTCGATTTGATATTGGAAATGGATTTCCAAATTTCCAAAATACATATAAATAAAAACACCATGCAATTAATGTAAACAATAAAACAAGACGAAAATCTCGAACTAAAAATAAAAATATTTCTATTAAATATAAAAAAAAAAAAAAAATTCTTTTACCAATTTTAACTGTATTCAATAATAAATATGCAATATAAAATGGTATAAGAAAAACAAGTAGAAAAAGCATAGAATATAAAACAATATGCCAATAAAGATATCTTGACCTATTTGAATTGAATAAAAAAATTTTTATATAGATAATCAAACATACGTTGGTTTTAATAAAGCAAGAATTTCAAAAATAATCAATTCAAACATCATACAACTTAATGTAAATATTAATGCAAATGAAAGAATAACAAAACGATTTCTCACACCATAATTTAACCCAAGTTGTCGTACAAAGAACATCCAACCACCAAGAAAAAAAGCGATCTTAAAAATTTCTTATTATCAATAGAGAATTTTTATCAAATTTAGATAAAAAAATACATACTTGAGAAATTGTTACGACAATGGTATCTGTTAAAAGAGACATGATAAAAACTGTTCAATACATATTATTCATTATAATATAATTAAATATAAATATCAATATAATCTAAAAAGAATTATGAATGTCGTTTATAATCATGATAATGTTCTGATAATTATATATGCTTTATAGAGAAGAGAACCAGGTGATTCAATGAAGAAAAAAAGAAACGAAACGAAAATTTGAAGCAGAAAAACCGTAGTAGAGTAGCAACGGATTTGTCCTTAATATATATCGAATCAAATTATTAGTAAGACTCTTATTAAAGAATATCAACTAGTTTCAGAAGAAATTCATTTTGCTAATAGTTTGTCGAAGTTATAAATAAAAATATAGGTAAATTTTATGCGGTAGATGACGCTAAAGATAAGTTGATCAAAATATTTTGTTGTATGATTAAAAAATAATACATCAGAGATCAAAACTAATAAATGAATTAATATTCAAATTTGATTCAATCAAAGATTATAACTGTAAGTATACGTCATCCTCACATACTTCGATTTTAATGACAAATAAAGGTTCATGTTCAATTGCACTGTATAACAGATTTGATATACAAACTCGTAGAATCAGTTTAGCTAGATAGTTCATTAGAACTATAAAGAGATTTTATTATATATCAATTTTCGCAATTATAAATTCTTCCTCTGATAATTATTTGAACTTCACTTCAACTCTTATATTTCTAAGACATCATCAATGTTATTTACAAGGTCATGCCTATTACTTATATGCATAAAATAAAATAATTGTTCTAGAGATATCCTGATGATTTTTCTATGGAAACATGGGTAAGTTTTATAGTTAATTATAGATCGTCAAATAACTATATAAGAAATTAAATTTTAATATTTTGTTTGATATATATTTATTTCTATTTATAACAATTAGATATACTTGTCTATCAATTCGAAGTCTCGATGTCTTATCTTTTGTATATGTATAAGTTAATTATCTCATATACTAGTTCTACATAATACAATTAGTGTCAATTTTATATTAACAAACGAAAGTTCGGGTTTTGGTCCAGAGAAATCTTTTTTTTGGTTTTATGCTATAATTTTTAACGATCGATAATGTTTTATAATATTCCATATGGAATTTGTCCAACAATTGTCAAGAACGAAACAAAAATATTCTAAGGCATTGAGTAGTATTTGATCTGTTCTATTATAAAAAAAAACAGTTTATTTTTAGATTATTCATCCAATAATTGATAAATTAATCTTCATTATAACTTCTTCTGTTAAAGAATATATTTATACTTTGAAATTCTGTCCGTTTTAATTAGAAGACCTCATTTTTTGTTACATTTTACACACTTATAATAATACTTTCATTATTCTAATTAAACAATGAGAAAGCAAATAAAAATTTTTTCTAACACTTATAAATCACTTCAAGATGATTTTGACTCTTAGAAGATAATATTAAATCATGATTGGCATCTTAATCGTCTCTGTCCATGAAGAAATAAACATTCATTGATGCTTCAATTAGTTTAATGTACACACATGTTTATATTAAATATTGTTATTCGATAAACCACTATATGACATTTGTTAACAAAGTGTGTCTAAAATGAGTTGACCTTTTACTATAAATGATCCTACTTTATATATATATATGTGGTTATGAAGGAAAAAAAATCCAATGTGTTTCATGTTAACTCATCAAAGATAAATATACCGATGTACATTTCTGCTGTCATTTATCACTTGAGAAAAGAGACAGAAAGAATATGAGCATAAATGCCAATCGATGTTTACTAAATGAAGAAATTGATCCCCTGTTCCTGACATACATATATACCATAAGACGTTTGCTTGACTGCCTGTTGTGTAAAACAAATAAGCATCAAATGTTGTCTTTTCTTTTCTTTTTTTTGTTGTTAGAACTAAAGGAAAGAGAGAAGGACAATGATGATGATGATAAATAGTCTAATTCTGTATTTGCTCGTATTCTAATGATCTTACCAAAAAGATATTCAACAGATTTTTTATACCTGTCAAGTTAAGAGAAGAAAACGATTATCTATATACTTTATATGTCGAGAAAATGTTGTCTTTCTTTTGTCACTCGTCTTTCATTTATTATCAAATGTTATTTGTTCGTGTGACAATTAATCGTTAACAATTTAGTTACGTTAGTATTCTCTTGAGAATTCTAATGAAGGTTATTTAAGTTATATATATATAAAACTTAAATGATTAGTTTTTTGTTTATTTAATAATCATGAATATGGAGAAAATTTTCGAGTAAACATGTTGATTCTTATTTAACAATTTTTCTTTTGTATTAAATCTTCATACCTTTTCTTTTTTGATACAAACAATAAAACTTCTTACGTCTTTGCTTCTTCCCCCTGGAGACTCATTTAGTAGAAGAAAAAGAAGAAGAAGAAGAAGGAAAAAAAAAGAAAAATGACATCGCTTATTATATCATTGAAAGGATTTCCTTGAGTGAATTCTTCATAAAAAGTCATATCCTTTCTTTCTTACACATTCATCTATAGTGACGATATAAACGTCATTCACTCACTCATTGTTGTGCCCTCGAGCATTGACATATAAGTGATATCAGTTCATATGTATATGTGTATCGACACTCAACGATGCATGTTAATCGTACTATCACTTCTTATAGTCTATCTGACAGGTGAAGTGATCCGATCATCGAATGAATATCTTAACTCAATAGGCAAACAAGATACTCAGAATCATCTAGTCGTCTGTATTTTTCCGTTCTTTCTATATATATACATACAAAAGAAAAACAAACTGTATGAGACATTAATAGATTTAAGACGGTAAATGAAGAAAAGAAACATTTCTTGTCTATATATCACACATAAATGAAGACGTGATTTTTTTCTTCTACCGAGCAAATTTATATATATATATAAAGCTTCAAATAAAAGAAGAAGAAGAAGAAACATCACTGTTCGCTAGATTGACACAAATGTAGTTAGGCATCCGGTGCCTTCAGCTTGTAAGTAACATACATACCTGTCAGTAAACGCACAAATTATATGAATGTCTTTGACACATACATACACACACATTTATAGTTTAATCTAGTATGTAGTAACATCTTTTTTTTCTTACTATAAACTACTATCTAATTGTATCAGAGTAATATAATATATCTTTAAAATTAATCCGTAACGAGAAAAAAGAAATATGTAATTGAACCCTTTCTTTCAATTGAATTTTCACTTATAAAAGTATTACACATTTTGTTCTCTATATCACAAAAAAAGTGTAGACTGTCACTTAATTAGTAAAAAATGTTGTTATTTTTAACTTTTTTTCTGTGTTTCTTTTTGGATAATGTAAATTTTCTTTTTCAGATAATGATTTGAATGAATGACGCAGTCTCTCGCACGCACTCTTATCATTACTTCTCTTGTCCTTAGTTCAATATCATTTATATTAAGTTTAATTGCATTTTGTTTAACAAATTGGAAATCTGTTCAATTACGTTCGATATCTTCATCATTAATTCCTCTGGAAAATAATCAAATGGATCCATTGATTCGTGGTGAAGTTGAAAAATATACTGATATACTCTATCGTCATGGTATTTTGTTTGAAACCAAAATATCATAAACACTCAATATATTTTTTTGTTCTAGGTCAAACTCATTCATTTGGTCTATCAAGTCATTGTATAGTTGGATATAAATGTGGTCGAAATCTTTTACCAACATTTCATGAAACAAATTATGGACTTTGTCATAATATAAAATATCATCAACAATGTATATTTACAACATCAGTATATTTATCAGAAAAATGTACTTGTCAAAAACCATCTTATATAAACACAACTCATAAGCTAGTTATTATTATAATGAATATTCAAATATTATTTTTTTCTGTTAATTTTCTTCGATTATATCGTTATATTCCTTGTTTAAATGATCTTTATCTTCGTTTAATTGCAATAATTTCTACTCTATTCTCATCAATATTTCTTATTATTATTATAATACAACAAAATAATAATCGTCTTTATGAACCATTAGCATATCTTGAAACAATGCGTGAACATTATTCAACTCATCAAATCTATTCATTTACACATGATTTAGAATTAATTATTAAACAAATAACATCGAATTTAGATGTACATTTAGGTACATCATATATATGTATTATATTAATATTAATATTAACAATAGTATCTTTTTTTACATCATCAACAGTTGAAATTAAAACTTTATCAACGTTTGATGATGATGAAAGAAAAAATGAACAAAATAATGTATTGTTACCATCATCACCAACACCTCCACTACTACTACCACCTCTTTCGCCAAGTGAACGTTTCGTACCTTATGAACAAATTCGTTTTTCACGTCAAACTAAAGTTTAAATTTTTTAGATTATATAGAGATTTATATATTTTTTGTATGTGTTTTATTGTTGTATTGATATACTAGTTTAAATTCATTGAAAAAAAAAGATAAGATAGGGGATTTAATGTGGAAGTTTTCAAGCAGAATAGTTGTTTTTTGTTAACTTATTTAGTATACGATGGAAGTTTTATGACTTCGTACTTATATATAAAAATAGTACATTGTGGTTTTAGTTAATAAATACAGGAAACAAATATGTTGTCTTTAAGAATCATTTCTTTTACAATATAGTTCTTGATAATACTAACAGGAATATAGACTATTAGCTAAGTCTGACAGAAAATGCAGAGTATTTATCAAATCTGGTAGATGATGTAGATTATCTGCTAATTTAGAAAAACAGATAGTATAGAGTATCTGCCAAATCTGTTACATAGTATTGATCATTTGGTGAAACTGGTAAACATTGTATATATCGAATAAAATCTTGCAAAAATATAATGTGCTTAGTGTGGTATCAAAGTAGTCTGTGATCATCTTCAAAAAGCTAAAAGTTGTAATATTAATCGATTTGTGAAAAACGATAACGACGGTAAATTAATTGAAGATGATATTATTGTGTTAGTTTTTTGTTGTTTAACTAAAGATGAATAAATAATTTGACTCAAGTTTTCTAAGTGCTATTAATTGGAGATCAAAAGCTTTGATAGAAATAACTATATCCGAAAACTACTAACTCCCGACACTATTGCTTCTTTGTCTTGTCGAATCATCAATGGATTTTTTCATATTGAGTAAAATGTCAATTGTATTTTAGCCTTGTTAAAAGTTGAAGATAAAGCAATTTATTATATTAAAAAAAACATTTATTTTTATAGAAAGTTCTTGTTGAATTCAAAATTAATTTCGATTTATGGAATAATTTTCTGATCTGAGCTATGTTTTATTTAACCTGAACAACAGAAAAGATGTATTACATGATTGTACATCTCGCTAATATTTTGTTCGTTTGGTATACACATTGATTCTAGTTTTAAAATGTACTATTAATACTTATAACGAAGTTTGTTCTTCTATTGGAATCTGACGGGTACATTAAACACCTATATTTTGTCTTTTGCTATTTATGTTGTTAACTAACATATTTTTCATAATTCTCAAATGATCTCAATAGTCGTTATTATAACAGTCGAAGTTCATTTGACTCTTCCATTGGATTAAAAATATTTTAGCTCAGAATCTTTTAATAGGCGATTCGCTACACCTATCTGATTGTTGAAATTCTATAATAGCTTTAGAAAATACGGTAAAGTAAAACTAAATCGAAAGATTTTGGTTCCGTTTCTTATCAAAACTTTTCGAAAAATTAAATCGTGTATTATATAAATACAGTAAACATTTTGTCGTTTAGCATTTCTTTGGACATTTTAAGTTATTATTAATTCAGTCTAGGAATATCGCCACTTGTTTTTGGTCATCCTTTTTTTGATCTGAATTAATAACATAATTTGTTGAAAAAGAAAGAGTTTATTTGTATATTTAACTACATCTCAGACAAGTTCTTTTCTGGTTGTACTGATTCCATACATCTCTATCAAAGACGTTTATTTATTTTGTAAAATGATGTTGTCAAATAACTCTTAATATATAATGTTTTCAATATAAAGATTGACCTTTGAAGACAAATGACGATGTTATAGGAAATAATTGATGTTGACAGAAATCAAGATATATATCTGTCTAACAGATATTACTTAACAAAATCTATATGTAGCATCTCATTGATAAATACACTATCTAATGAAAACAAAAAGATAAAATAATTTTTATTGGTGACAGAAGTAGGTGGATGTTTATCCTCTTTTTGTCTCTACGTATATAAATAAGCGCACATGCCTGATACATTCTTATAAAAAACCGTAAACAACGATCTTTTTTGAATATTAAGGATCATATTCAAAATGAAATATTTAACAATTTGTTTTGTACTTGCTATTATCAGTTATTTATTTGTTTTACAAACAAATGCGTAAGTGATAAATTATGTTAGATAATTGATTATTATTATTATTTTGTTTTTGATAGATTTTTTACTGGTGGTGGCGACGCCAAAAAGAAAGAAATTAAAGGGCAGTGCAGTTTATACAAAGGCAAATGTGGTGGTACACTTAGTAATACATGCTGTAAACTACCATATAAATGTGCAAAACAAACAAAAGTTTGTGGAAAAGATAAATTATGTTGTGTATCGGAAGCTGATATTCAACGTCAAAAACAAGAATCTACTAACATTGTTAAAGGTCGTAATGGTTAAGAAAAAATAAGAAATGAACATGATTTATATTTACTCATTTATATAAACAGAAACAATTTTCTTTTTAATTTAAATATATGAAAAACAAAGTATTTTATCCTTGCATATAAATAAATATCTACATGTATCAAATATATTTTGTTTGCTATTGATTTTGTAACCTAGCCGATACTGTTACTAGAGCAATAATTCAATCACTCCATTGTTTTCGTTAAAGAAGTTATGGAGGATGAATTCTAATTTCAATCAATGTATTCATTTTTTGTTGAATAATAAGAATTATGACGAGTAGACATTCAGATATATGAGAATAATAGTGAATTCCTACTAAAATAATCTATGACTAAAACTGATTGTATTGTATCTGATTATTATTAACAAATAAAATACATGATATAATATGAATAATCATTTATAAGTTTGTGTTTCATCGCACCTTTTTGATTAAGAACATCTGTCCTAAGTATTACATGCAGAAAAAGTACTATGAAGATAATTTAACTTGTCAATAAAGTCAATGTTTATACCTATAGACAAGCTGTTATAAACAGATCCCTACTTGTTATCTAGCAACATCTATCTACATAGAAAAATTATAAATTATATACTGTAATAGAATCTTTATTTCAATAAACTATATATTATATGAATAAAAATTGACAATCAATAAGCAATGATAAATAGATTTGTTGACTCTACATTATAAATTAAAACGAAATGTTTTCTATTATATTATTGTAAGAAAGATTTCTTCCTGTAAACATATAATAAATGTCTTTCAAACATGTCAAATGAAGAATTATATATATTATCCGTTAAAATGAAAAATAAAATAGTTAAATATTCTATTACCAGTATAAAATTCTCTGTTGATTTTAAATTAACAAGAAAAATATTTATTATAATTTTTTCTAATACCTAAATCACTTTTAAGCTATGGATGAAAGTGAATAAATTATTGAAAAAATTTTTGATTGAATATATTAACTTTGATCTTTTGACTACAAACAATCTATGGTCCATACACATTTAAATACTACACGATTAGAAAACGAAATAAATCAATACAACTACAAATATTCTAAAATAAATTATTTTAATAAATAAAATATATAGTTTTAATCAATAATAATATTTTTACTGATAATTTAGAGAAATATCCTATGATAAGAAAAAGAAAAATTAAAATATATTCTTGTAATTATTTTTTTTCTGCTTTTACATATCAACTGTGTATGATCAATTCGTTAACTATATATTAATAAAAATATTCAAAAAGGTTTATGATTAATTTATTTTTATTTTCTATCTATACAAACACATAAACGGATGTGAGAGAATAACTACAAATATATTTCTGTTTGTTTTCTTGTCTATTTATGAAAATTGTATAAATTTTATCAAATAATTATTCTTTATCATTGCTATATAACTCTAAATATTATATATAATAACTACAAAAATTTGAAAAGTATAAATTTAAAATTCGGTAGAAATATACAAATGTCATCTTTATATGTCAATGTATTAATTAAAAATGAGTTTTAAAAATACTACTTTTCTGTAATAATATATACAAAATATATAATCTTGAGAGTTTCAATTAATTTTCATATAAAAGTAGTTTTAATCTAGCTATTTTTATTTTGATATAGGAAACTTTCGATTTCATACGATCACCGTCAATCTTAGATAATAAAAAGGATGTTACAGTCAATATAAAAACGCTTTAGTAATTGAATCAGAATAAAATATATAAGTTAACTAGTAGTATGTTTATGTTTTTGTTTCTTATATTGATTGTAACATCCTTTCGTCCACTATGTAAGGTTAAAAATGACCGTATAAGATCGAAACGTTCCTTATTTGTATTAAAACTAAAAATAACTACATAAAAGTCTAAGTTTATATGAAAAATATTGTTGTTTTAGTATTGATTTTTCATTTAATTAATATATCAGCTATTATACGAAATAGTTGATAAGTAAAACATACCAGTTTTCAACTAAATATCACTTGTTGTTTAATATGCACATCAAATTCATTTTATTTATTTTCTTTGCATAAAGCAGTTTTATATATTAGTACGCAGGAGTCATCTGTTCTTACTCATCATCGTATATCACTGTTACCGTCAACATTCTTCTGTTCTGTTCTCTTTCTCCCTGAATACATGTGCGATTTTTTTTCTTCTATACTACACCATGAGTGTAGATAAATGTTATGGTTGAATAAATACAACCATTTCAATCCTTGTTTAGTATCATTTGAAATCAAACTCTACTGCAAGCAATCATATTAAAATATCTATTTGATGTATTGTGCTTCATTGATCTCTCATTATTATTAAGAAAAGGCAATGAATAAGAGATATTTCTAGCTAATTTATTTTTATTGAAAAGAAGAAAATAAAACAAAAAAGAAAAAAATAAAGCAAAAAAGTAAAAAATAAAGTATAAGAAAGAAAATAG